TTGATTCCCAAAGATGTAAGTCTACAGTGCTAGCCAGTGCTGGTTTTGATGATTTTCCCGCTCAGCCCAGCTCATGCAAGGTCTTCCCAAAGATTCCCAAATTGGTAGCCTGGACAGCAGATGTCTATATTGTGCTGCTCAGTGCCTTGCCTCTTTCAGGAATTTTATCTTCTTTCAGAGGCTGAAAAACAGGAGAAACAAAGGGCCATAATGGCCCATTTAGATTTTCTCTGCTCAAGGCCCCAAGCATTTACACATTTCATACAAAGGCTGTGTGCCTTGGTTTGTTATTTAAAGTAGAACTAGATTGTTGTTTGTGTCTATCATATTTCTTAACACTTCTTAATACTTTTCTTTGTATTTCTTCCTTGCACTAACCAAAGATCTGAAACGATGGAGTAGTTTGACTTAGGAATGTATTGTTTTAATAGTTAAAAACTGCACCAAAGAAAAAACTATCAATTAAAAAAAATATTCTTCGTATCTCCAGTCTAATACCTAGTGCAACAGGACCTAGTTTTCTGAGCTGTATGTTTTATTTTCTCTGAATCACAAATGTAGCAAGATGGCATGCAAAGTGCAGTATGTGCCATTTCCTTTTTTCTTTCCCCACACAACTGGGCAGACCATTTCTGCCAGTGTGCTTTTTGTAATATGAGGGGTGCTGTACATGTGATAATCTGAGGCAACAGGAGTGTAGTGTTTACTAAATGGCTGGGCAATGACAAATATAAATACACCCCACCTGTTCCTCTCCCTACCCCCATTACTTAGGCATTATATAAGAATTTGTAGACAAGGAAAAGAAGTTAGTGAATTTTGCCATACTAGATGAAGTCAATTTTATACATATATTGCTGTATTAGGTACTGCACTATGTATTGACATTTAACTGGGAGCCAGGATGCATCGTTAAAATTAAATATAAGAATGAGCAGCAAAATTTTGTAATTCTTTAACTAAGCTATGTGCATAACTCTTTTGCTATGAATAGTCTCCCAAAATCTTTGGAAATTATTGAGGTAGTTAAATGTTTGCCTTAACCTCTGCAAGATCAGGCCTCCAATACACTTCTCAAAATCCATTCTGAAGATATTTCCTGAAATGCTTACTGCTCAACTGATGCACTCAGCTCATAAATTTCACAACAAGGGTACATACTGAGGGCAACATACCTCAACCTCCACATTGGAAAGCTCCCAAAGGCCAAACCAGACCGTGCTATGCCTTTCTACACAGCCTGACACAACTGGGGCATGACCATACCAGCACCAAGTAGTAGGTTTTGTTCTTTATCATGATGAGAAAGCACAGCAATACTCTCAGAAGGTCTGAGCAAGTCATGAGGTCTCCAGGCTTTGCTTGCCATTACATAAATAACAGCTAAGTGCTACTATAGAGAGCCTACAAGTTGGCTGTAGCATAATGCATAGGGAGGCCCTGGCCATATTAACTGGCTGCCCAAATGCTCACAGCCTGCTGAAAAGGCTAGGCAAGGCTTAGCTGCCTAACCCAGTCACTTCAGGCCTTGCAAACATATCTTTGTTAGATAAGAGGAATTTTGTATTGGTCTATTTGTCTAAAAAAGCAGAAGGAAAAAAAGGGGGAAAGGTTATGGAGATGCCTTGAAGTGAGGTGATATAAAATATCTTCTTACAGCTTTCACTGACATTCAGTTTTATTAGCTTGATTATAACTTCAACAAATATGGTCCAAGAACAGTGCAGATCTATAGAAATGTTTAAAATACTCTCAGAAAATTTTGTATTGTGCTTGCAAGTTATCTGTTATAAGAATCTCATACATCTCATCCCCTGCATGACCCATATTTTTTTCCTGAGGATTTCACTGTGCTGCAGCTGCCTTTGGCTTTGGCATTCCCTGGTTCACGTGAATACAATATACAATGAATCTACTTTGTCTTGTCATAAGGATGCATGAGTCATCCCTTAAAAAAGAAAAAGACAATCATCATTGACTTATTCCATTGTGCCTTTTGTAGCTGCCACCCTACAGTGTAGGAAGATTGGTGTAGTTTTGAAACAAGAACCTGAGCTAAGAATAGTAATGATATAAGCTTTACTGAACTGACAAAAAACCTTGAAAGAGAAATAAATACTAACACAAGCCTTTTCAAATGAGAATTAGCAGAGCACTTAAGGAAAGAGCAATTAAAAAAAGAAAATGTAAGAGTAGATGTTAGTTATTAACAATCATTATTTGTATTTACTAAGAGCACATCAATGACTACACTGTTTGACGTAAATTCTGAGATTTGATATATAGATGGAGGAGACCTGCTGTACATAACCAAGGACTGGTGGGGAAAACTTCAGACGTTAGTGCAAATATGACAGTGTAAATAGTTTTATAGGGATGCTCATATCTTCTCTATTCATTCACCAGCATTTAATAGAGGGGGAAATCATGGAGACATTTGGGGGTTTGCTGCAGTTATGTAGGTTGTAGTTTCATGATAACAGAAATTTATTATAGCCCTTTAGCTACTCCACATATTTTGTTTTTAAACATTAAGTACTTGTGAATCATTAAACTTTCATCCAGTTCAGTCCTCAACCTATGTTATCTTTTAGCCCTCCTCTTCTTCAGAAACCTTTCACAGAAAAATTTCCTCCAGCTGTATGCAATTACATTATCACAGTGGTAATGTGGTGAGTCAAAAGGCACTGAAGTCTGATCTAGTTTTTTCCCCGGGGAAGTTTTGAACATGTTTCAAAACAAGAGGCTGTAACAGTACCTTGGTTTGCCCATTCACAGCTCCAATTACACGTAAGCAGGTTATCTCCAGTATCCTAAGCTTTTGTTGGCAAAGAAAAAAAAAAAAACCCAAACCTCCAAAACCAGACATGGGACTTTTAAGTTGTTTTCCAGAATTGCTTTTGGTTGACAGTGAAGTGCTAGGTTAGGCTGTAGCAATAATTACACCATCACGGTAATAGCATAATAAAGATTTGTATGAATTTTACAGAGGTGCCTGGCTTAGGCAGTAAGTCATAGACATAAGCTGTTATGCAGGGCTGATCTCACAGCAGATCTGGAACACAAATAAAGATCATCTTGGGTTTTTCCAGAACCCAGGTACGTGATGTTCCTGTGTTCTTGCAGGAGAGCCCCATATATGAACAACATATTGCTTGGAAAAATTCTTTATTACAGATGATGCTCTTCAAGACAGCAAAACTTTGATTTCAAATGCAGAGACACTTTCAGGAATCAAGACAGTAATATCACACCAGAAATATTGTCTTCCTGATTTTGCAATTACATAATTTATATTGGAAATCAGCCATAATTGAAAATAGCTCATTTTCTCAACAAGAAGAACCCCCCTAAAGAACAAGTCACAAAATATTCAGACATTATGTATGAGGATCCATATGCAATTGGAAGAATAATTTTTCTCTTTCAGTCCTGCGTGATTGTCTAGGTATTTTTAGCTGCATAAAACCTTTTCCATCTGAAACATTTCATTATGCCATGCAATTTTTATGCAAAATTTAATCTCCATCTCAGAAAATCAGAAGTGGTAGAAAACAGGACTTAAAAGAAGACTTAGGAGAGTACAACAGTAGTACTTGCATTCAAATATTTTGCCTGCTAACACTGACTGCAGTGGAAAGAGAAAACATTACAAGGCAGTTTCAACAGTGCTAGCCTTGCCTGGAGGGTAAATTGAAATATATACCTTGCATCGCATTGACATTTATTGAAGTATCTGTCAGAGGTATACAGATGGGCTCCGTTACTGGCTATCACACAGCACACATTTTGTGATGTACTCACAACTGCCCTGCAGCAAGGAAGGACTCTTGATATTAATTTACCTCTGAGGAAGTGGGAAACAAACTCACGTTTGGTGTGGAGCGGGAGCTGGCTATCTGGGTTCCCACAACCCAGGCTGTATTATTCACTAGCAGAGTCAAGATATCCATCTTCAGAGGAGGAAGCTGATGATTCAGGTACTGTGTTAAGATTTGAGAGCCTAATATTGTAGGTGGCAACTAATTTGAGGGTTGTGGTTGAGTTGCCTCCTTTCCCTGGTCTTACGGCTTCCTTCAATGCTGAATTGTTATGCCAAGCCCACCTCTTCTCATGAGGTGAGCCATCACCACAGAAAGCCTTTCATGCTTGGATTTTAATCTTGAATTGTCGGTGAAATTACTGAATGCAAGAAAATTACTCAATCCTTCAAATTACTCAACCAATGTGACCAGCTGCAGGTGTTTACCAAGGTTTACATGATCTGGTATGGAATTGGTTTCTTCACTTTATGTTTCAAAAGAAACCCAACAAGAGTGAAAAGCAACTGCCAGGGGCCAGAGAGCAATAATAAATGGTGCATGAGAAATATCAGCTGGAGCAGGAGCTGAATTCCTGTTCTCCTGGATGACAAAAGGGTCCAGCTCCGGGAAGGATGAGAGGACCTGGTTACATTTGATCCCTCATCTTGTTATTTCCAAAACATTTAAAAAAGAAAGAAAAAAAAAAATTCTAGATCAGGTTTAAAGATCAATCAATTTTTTGCATTCTGATACATCCAGAGTACTCTAGATACACATCAAACAAGGATTAAATTAGAAGAGTTTGTTTATAGAACTTAAACTGCAAATTAAGCATTTCAGTTCTACCACTAAGAACACAAACAACAAACAAAAAGCTTAGAAATCAGAAATTTGTCTGGGAAGCTTTCAGATTGGCTTTTCAGATGCAGCAGCTACAAGTCACAGGCAGTTTGGGAACAGGTGAGTTCCACGGAGCTGCCTGTGCCCTGTCTCATCAGACTTCACGCAGAGCTGCTGAATTAACATTTTTATGATGTGCAGACAAAGTCAATGGATGTGGAGTGGGATTAATAGGCAAGAGTCAGTAAGCACATTCCTCATGTTTATTGTAGAGCTGCTGGCAATCCAGCAGCAGCGTAGTTTCATGCAGAATTAAGTTGGCATTTAAAGATGCTATCTGCTAAAGGAGACAAAGTTTTATTTAAAACCACATGCATTCCTATTCTCAGCACCATCTTGCTTAAGCTGTATTGGCCCAGCAACAACAGTCACACTTTCTTGGCCAGAGCTCGCCTCTCTCTTGGACCTAGTAATACAACCTTGGTAGCATCTGGAAGAATAGTCATAGGCCCTGCACACCACTAGTTCACACTGCAGGTAAACCAATGGATTGTTATGAATAAACTGGAAGGCATTGAATTTAAACCGGACTATGTGTCTGTAGGGTGAATAATATGTAGAATAGGTGGAATCTTGAACACACCTAAAAAGAAACAAAAAAATCTCTCATCAATACATGCTGCCATCAGTCATTTACATGCAATATAACACGTAACGTGAAAAGTGATTTTAAAACATGATGAAAATTGTTCAGAAACCTGCAATTAGGAAAAGCAAGATGCCCTTCTTTGGCAGCATTGAGCCACGTTACCTCCCTTCAGCCTGTCGTGTGTCTAGATACCTAGTGTTTGTACATTTTTCTGAAAGTGAATTAGCCTTACCTGAGATATGCCACTGTTACCTCTCTGATAAGAACAATCCATGGTAAACTGGCCATAGCTATTTAGTCTGTTTATAATTTTAAGCTGGGGGATGGTGTGTGTTACATTTTTGGTCAATCCAACCCCCTTCCCCCAATAAACCTCAATTGCCTATATCCATTAATTAGTTAGAAGCAGACATTAATGTATGCTGTATTCACACTATTCCATTAAACAAAAATGAAAAAAGAAAAAAAAGATACAGGAGTTCAAAGGCAGTTCTTTCAGTAATTGTAACGCATAAGAGCTTACCCGTTCCTGATTATATCATAGGTTACCGTCGTAAAATTGTGGGGAGTGGGAGATGCCACACATGTGTCCACAAACAACATGAGGTTTGAATCAGAGCTGTGCAGGTAAGCTTCAAGGAACAAATTCTGGTTGATATCAACGCAGTATGGCAACTCATTCACTGGCCGTGAGAAGGATGCAGAATGATAAAGTGTAAGGTTTACATCATATCTGCTATACTGAGTTTCATTGACGTCAAAATTGTCCTCTGCAACATACATTATTTCTGCCCATGTGTTCTGGAGCATTTTGCAGTTGATATGCAAGTAAAGGTTTTTATTTCTTGTGATTACAGTACCAGAAGACGATCCTCTAATAAGGTTGGAATAGATTATTGTATTGTTGTTTCCCTGTTTGGCATATAAAATAAAATGCAGAATTAATTCATGTAGTCAGGTTTCCTATTATGCATTCTAAACTTTACTGTACCCTTACAGCAATGTGCACAGTAACTGCATTATTTCCCAGAAAGTCTGCTGTGGAGAAGTCTGAGCCTAGTAATTTCTGTTCTCAAGATAAGAATCTGTAACCTACAGGTAATATTCAGTGACTACAGTGTGGACCTAGAAAACTACTACCTGCAGACATAACTAATTAAATACAAACTATACAATTCTTTGAACATCAAATGTCTGAAGGATCTGGTCCAGCACAGTTTTTAAGTTCAAATCTGACCTAAACCACTATTGGTCATATTTAGTAAAGGCTTTGAGACCTTTAAATCACTATACTCAGCTTGGGACCTTGAAAATGCCAAGTGTTTGCTTCTTCCCACACTTTATTCCTTACAAGATCAGCAGCAGATGCAGGAAATATGAGTGTTAATAAACCTTATCCCTCAGGAGAGGGAGAGGCAATCCATAATCAACAGGACACTTCCAGTCCCTGCAGACCTCGGTATAGCTTTCAATTTGTGCTGGTTTTCAAAACTAGTTCTTTGGTTTGAATTTTTACACACTCACAATATTTGCATATTCTGTTGAAACGTTTAAAGTCATACCTCTCTCACCGTGCCGCAGCGAGTGTATGGTATATCAAATATAACGTAGTCTGATGTAATGTTGGGTTTGCAATAGGGGTCATTCAAGGAGAGCTTCCAGGCGGAGTAGCCTTGTGACTGGAGGTAGTACCTGCTCACAACTGCACGCATGTAGTCTGGCAAACACAACAGTGCTAGCAGATGGCAAAGAAAATACATTACAAGCTCATTGAAGTGACTGAAAAGGTTATACTTAAATAAACCATATCTTTTGCAGAAGTAGCTGATATTGCAGAAGGAGTTCAGAATCCAAATCATATACTTGCATCTCTATGAAATATTACAGACTTAATTTAAAATAACATGAAATGGGTGATTCATTGAAGTGGTACAACAAGATTAATAATCAGTGAATTAGCAGATAATTGAGAAGGAGGTTTCTGCTTTAAACATTAACTTACTAGTGCTCTGATCTGCTGGAGTGGAATAATAGTCAGCCTGAAACCCTCTGTATGTGTATCGAGAGTTACTGTAAAATCGGACAGTCAGCAGGTTTGAGGAAGATGTGTATGTGCGAAAATAACCAGAACAAAATTTCCCAAGGAGAGGAGAGGTACGGAGTGGCCCATCATAGACTTCCACATAGTCAGACAGGCATCTGCCACCTTCCATCCTGGGGAGCAAACATGACTATTTAGTGAAATGCTTAATTTTAATTTTTTTAATATTTCTTTTTCCTTTTTGTTTTTTTTTTTTAACTCAGATTACCTGTTCATAGCAAAAGAGTACATTTTAGTGATATGACTATCAAGTCTTTGGAACAGAAATTACAGCCCCCAGTTTCTGTCTCATTAGATGCCAGCCACATTATTGACTAAATAAACAAAAATGAATAATTTTTTCATCTCAGACATAGTAAAAGCTTTGAAAAACATCCTTGAAATCAAGCAGCTACCAGCTTACTAAGTCAAAGGTGTCGATCCCATACATCATCTTCCCAAGTAAGAAATTTTTACTTACTGAACATCTCTAAACGTGAGTGTGACACGAAAGTTATTCTTTGCTTCTATTTCCCAAACACAGTTGGCATTGTTTGGATAATTTCTGGGGTAAAATGGACTCTGTAATGTCCCAGATGGAGAGGAAAGCAAGCCGCCACAAGAATAATCCTCTGCAGAGAAAAATATGAGAAGAAAAATATACATATACACTATTTAAGGTTGCTTTTGGAACACGTCTTTGTAGAATTTATAAGTCTAAAATTTAGTGGCAGTGACTTCTACGGGCTTCAATGGTCTTTCTATTAGGTACATATATCATCTGAATGCAGATTAGGAGATGCTAACATACTGAATAGCTTTTATAATGCTGATCTTCAGTGTCTGCACTAGCAGGATACAAATATTTGTCACAGAACTGCGCAATCATTGAGGCTGGACATCTGGAGGTCAGCTGTTCCTTGAAAGAGGAAAAGTCACAGCTGAGCCTGGTTCACCTCTATTACAATTTCTAATGACCAAAGGGAAGGAAAAAAAAAGACCAAAATTATTTTGTTTCCAAAAAAGAATGCTGACAAGTATCCGATTCATAAACATGAAGACTTTTTGTCACAGTCAAAGAACTGTATGAAATTTATATATAGATCAGTTGCAGCCTAATCAAATAATAGGGGAATTAAGATCTAAGAAAGTTTAGAAGTAAAATAAAGTCATGGATTTCTAGGATACTTTTCAGTACAAGCTCAAACTACTCCAAGAAAAGAGAAATGTGTAAATGGACATCATCTTTTGAATTATATTCCAAATTAGAAAAAAATACACATTTACTTCTTTTAACCTAAGGAATGAACAAGAGACCTACTGAGGTCTAAGAGATTTTCATTTTTTATTTTCAGCTTCTAGCAAACTGAAAAAAAACCTTCTCTCACTAACTGACCTAACATTTACTATGTGAACAATTAAACTTTCAAACTATGCACTAACCTCAAAGGATGTGCTTGAACAAACAGCTGAAATAGGAATTAGTGGAATAATACTACTTATGAAGTGGTTGAAAACAATGCTGCCTAAGCACTTGTGAAATTACTGCTCGGCTGCAAAGAAATAAGTAACTACACTGAGTGTGAAATCACCTGCATTGTAATTCTGTGATAATTTGAGGCATCGTTCTTTTGGTATTACATGAAGAGGAATATGCCCCAAAACTATGGGCAGTAACATTTCTCTCATTGGCTACAACCATGACCGAGCAATTCCTCTGCCTGCACTTGCACACACAGAGCCCCAGCACAAACACATGAGCCTTGCCATCTGGGAACCCCACCTTAGATGCTCCATATATGTTCTGCCTGAAGATCAGGACACACTTTTGTACTGTGAGGGTGACTGAGCACAGGCCCAGGTTGCCCACAGAGCTTGTGGACTCTCCATCCTTGGAGACAGTCAAGAACCATCTGGACACTGTCTTGGGCAGCCAGCTCTAGGTGATCCAGCTTTAGCCAGGGAGTAGGACCAGATGACCTCCAGAGGTCCCTTCCAACCTCTGCCATCCTGTGATTCTGTGATCCATAACCAGGGGCAGGAGCTAATCAGACCCCTCAACCCCTCCTGACATACCTGTGGTCGATGACATGGTGGACATCGAGCTGGAGCTATATGGCACTGCAGGGAGAGAGCAGCAGGTGAGCGAGCAGTGTTTTGCCTAGCAGGAACAACCTGCTTGGAGTCACCCCTCTCCAAAGGGCTCCCCGGACACTGAAACCCAGCACCCACAGTCACCACCTGGATCCGTGGCAGGTCCCTGTGTGGCTGCACCTTAAAGCCTTCCCCCTCCTTCCCACCAGCCCAGAGTGCAGCTCACTTTCTACGTGTACAATAGCTCCCATCAGCAGGACCTCGCATGCCAATGGAGGAACATCTTTGTTAATCATCAGGATGATGGGACAGGGTGGACCCTCGGCAAGTTTGCTGATGACACCAAACTGGGAGGAGTGGCTGATCCGCCAGAGAGTCCTGCTGACATCCAGAGGAACCTCGACAGGCTGGAGAAATGGGCGAACAGGAACCTCATGCAGTTCAACAAGGTGAATTGCCAAGTCCTGCTCCTGGGTAAGAAGAACCCCAAGCACCAGTAAGCATCTGGGCCACTCGGCTGGGAAGCAGCTCTCCAGAAAAGGCCCTGGGGGTCCTGGTGGTCACCAAGTTGAACATGAGCCAGCAATGGTTTGCACAGGGGGGTGGGACTAGATGACCTCCAGAAGTTGCTTCCAACTTCAGCCATCATGTGACTCTCTGATCTGAGCAAGGGCAAGAGATAACCAGACCCCTCGACCCCTCCAGACCTACCTGTGGTCGATGACACGGGCGGAGTCAAGCTGGAGCTACCTGGCGCTGCAGGGAGAGAGCAGCAGGTGAGGGAGCAGCACTGTACTTAAGATGAAGAGCCCGCTGGGAGTCACCCCTCCCCAAAGGCAACCCTGGGAGACATAAACCCGAGACCCACAGCAAGCACTGTAACCTGGCAGGACCGAATGAGACCAATCTTGACCATCCTGTGATTCTGTGATCCTGAGCAGGGGCAGGAGATAACCAGACCCCTCAAACCCTCCAGGCCTTACCTAAGGTCAACAACAGAGGGAAGTTGAGCTGGAGCTACCTGGAGCTGCAGGCAGAGAGCAGCGGCTGCTCTCATTCCTCAACAACTCCTCAGCTGCAAAAAGGAGTTCAGTGCACTGCATGTGAAGCCATTGACCTTCTTTACTTTGGGAAAAGAAGTAGTAACCAGGAGCAGCAGGAACATTGGCCTCTGCAGCTTGCAGCAATGAGTGTGCCATGAACAGGCAACTCCTCTTCCTGCAGTAAAGGCTGGAAAACTCAACGATGGTTCAGCGGCAGCACTGGTGGAGGTGGAGAAAGCCCTGTCCCTGCCCATCAGGCAAAGAAACAGCATTCTGGCAGCAGTCTCGTGCCAGTCCTGTCCACAAAGATGCCCCCGAACCAAAATGCCTGTCAGTGGGGCCAATGGGTCTGGATGCCCACAGGTGTCAGGAGCCATCAGAAGGCCCTTAAGGAAGAGTTTGTGCTTCTGTCCTGGCAAAGAGCAAAGGACAGCTGCGATCTTACCTGTGGTGCTGCTGAAAGTGGAAATCGAGTAGTAGTAGGCCTGGAAACCCCTCTGGGTGACACTGCTGTCACTGCGAAACAGGATGGTCAGCTGGTGCCTGGATGACCTGAAGATGTGATGGTCATTCCAGCAAACAGTCCCGAGGAGCGGGGCCTGGGGGGACCCGCCGTCGTACACCTCGATGGTGTCGTACCAGCAGTTGTTGCCTTCCAGCCTGCAGAGGGAGAGGAGGGTCTGTCTGCACTGTAGGCTGTACCACCTCCGAGCACAAGTACCAGCAGGAGCTGCAGGGCTCAAGCAACCCAACCCCATTCCCAGCCTGTCCCCGGAGCTCGGGCAGAGGTGGCCAAGGCGCCGCAATGGGGACGAAGCTGCCTCTGAGCCCAGAGCCAGCACTGGGCACACTGCCCACACCACAGCTGCCACCCCGCTGGACTCACTCAACATCTGAAAACTGGAGCTCGACTCTGCGATCCGGCTGCCACAGCTGTATGCGCCACACGCAGTAGGCACTGTTGGGGTAGGAGTTGGGGTAGCCCGGGCTCTGGACTGAGCCGGACAAACCCTGAAGCAAGCCACCACAGGAGCCAGCCTCTGTGGAAAGGAGCAGAGCCCAGCAATGGGCAGGGAGCTCTTGACATCCTATTGCCAGAAGCTGTCAGAGAAGGCACAGCACCCTGCAAGGAGGCTGTGCCACAGCCCCACAGAGATCCTCCCTCCTGGCCACACCCCAAAGTCTCATCCCTGCGTCCCCCCAGCCCAGAGCACAGGTTGCGCTCGGCACGGGCACTAATCCCCATTGGCGGGGCCAGGTTGTCCAGTGGGACACCTGAGGCAGGAGAAAACCAAACCCCTTAACCCCTCCAGACCTACCTGTGGTCAACGACACAGGGGAAGTCAGGCTGGGGCTACCTGTTGCTGCAGGGAGAGACCAGCAGGTGAGCAAACAGCATTTTGCCTAAGAGGAACAACCTGCTGGGAGTCAACCTTCTCCAAAGGGCTCCCAGGACACTGAAACCCAAAACCCGCAGCCGGCACCGTAAAGTGGCTGGACTGAGCAAGACAGCTGCAGCACTGACAGCCCCAGCACTTGCTCAAGGGCATCACCACTGTGGCACCATGAAGACTAGTGCCAAACCTCTCCCACAGTAGAAGCAACTGCTTAATCCCAAAGGATTCCAAATGGTCCCGCATCATCCCGGAGCATCAGAGATGTCACCCAGGCTCTATAAGCGCAGCCCACAATTGGGTCTTCTGCTCTGATGGAGACAGAGCATCCCAGAGACAGAGCACCCCAAGGAGAAGAAGAATGTAAAAAGAAATCTCTGGTTACCTGTTGACCAAAGTGTCCCTAGTCCCGAGTCTGGAAGGAGAAAACCAGAGGGCGTGAGGCACTCGGACCCCTTGGCTCCCCTCAGAGCACATGCTATAAGCTCATGGAGAGCTATGGAGGGACCCATGGGGCAGATGGTCTGGCTCAAAACTGACCCCTTCCTCATACCCTGCTCTGTGTGCGAGCCATCACCCGAATCCCAGACCTCCCGAGCACAGCCTGCAAGCGCAGGCACGGTGCTCCCTCTGAAACATGGGCCCCTGCATTAGGAACACGGACCCATGACCCGCTGCTGCCCTGCAGAGCATGGAAAAAGGGCTGACCAGCCTTTGCCCAGCCCCATACGACCTCCAGACGGGTTTTCTTCAGGAAGATGACACCAAAACACAAAAACCCACCTGAGCATATTACAGAAGCATCCCCGTGATAACAGCCAGAGTGCATTTCGTTGTAAGGGCAATACCACAAAGAGTATTCATAGCCCACACAATCCACCTCTGTCATCATGTACGGGTACCAGTCGCTCGAAGGGAAATAGTGCATCACACCAAGAGGCGAGCCGCAGCCAAGCTGCCTGCACACAACCTGGGCATCTTGCATATCCCACATGTGTCCACACACTTTAGTCCAGACTCCGAAATAGAATAATTCCACGTTGCCTGCACATCTGTTCGGCCCACCGGTCAGCTGCAGCAACAGCTCTTTGAAAGACACAAAACCCTTGGTCAGGCCAGCAGTGCTCTGGTTTCAGGCAATGATATTTGCTGACCAATGCATGAGAAAGCGGGCAGTGCCAGTGGGTCAGGCAGACCCATAGATCTTTGCAAACCAGCCCCGGCTTGTGTGAGCCCTGGGAAAGCCATGGGGGCCAGGACCTTACCCCTGGGATGGTGGGCCTGACCTCTCAGGTTCAGCCCCCTGCTTCCTGGCAGGGCAAAGGGAGAGCGCAGGATTCCCCATCCTCCCCGGGCACAGCTGTTCCCTGACACCCAGCAGCATCCACCCACAGCTCAGTGCAGGGCCAGCAGCCCCTTCTCGGGCTCCCACACTGGGGTACAGAGAGGCTGGGGCAGCAGTGGGTACGCACGTCCCTGGGGCCACGATGACCTGGCAGACAGACTCACCGTCAGCTATGGTTGGAACTGCAGAGAAGAACAAGCAGACAAAAACCACACAGAGAGAAAGTGAATTAGGACAAATCCTTTGGGAACTGTCAGCACGCTTTACCCTTTCCCCAGTGAGTCAAGTCAAGTCCCCAGCGAAGGGCACAAGCGACAGAAGATCACTTTCTTTCTAGCAAGGATGCTGCCTGCTGGGGGGCAGAGCCATCCTCAAAATCCCAGCTCCCAAATAACTTTGTTCTCGCACACACCCCAGCTCCACCATAAAGCAAACACGTAAGCTTTTTCATCATAGAAATTTATTCCCAAGAATAAATATGATGGTAAAAATATAAAGCTATCACTATCATATAAAGTAAAACTCTGAGAAATCTTACTTACAAATAGTGTTCTCAGGCGTTGTGGTAGCTGTAGTTGTTTCTTCTAGAGAAGAAAAAAACCCATACATGATACCATACAGGGAGGTCAACAAGGGAAATACAATTTGAAATTTCCCCAAACACCATTCCAGCCTCTAGCAATTTGTGGCTGACGAGCTTTAGATCCAGGAGATTTCTTTCTTATTTTATTAGACCTCTGCAGTTTTTCCCTCCATTAATTGTCAAATCTCTTTGTGAACCCACCAAAACCTGCAACTGGCCCAGAGAGTGCCAGGTGCCCTTGAAGTGAGAAAAGTCTCTCTCTCTGTTTGCTTTGAAGAAGGTATCTGCTGGCTTCACCTGATCCGATCAGAAGTTAATGCCTCTGCTTCTTGCATGAGAATAGGCTGTGGACAACCGTCTCCTCCTCTCTTTCTCCATACCAAGAACAGCAAAGCTACCCCAAAAATCTTAACAGAAACGAAGATGACAGAAAACTATCTGGGGAGCTGGTCAGAGCAAGGCCAGTGAGGAAGGGAGGCTGCAGATCCCATTACTTTCCTTCATTTTGCACAGCTGCTGACAAAAAGGGGGTCTCCAAAAGCTCCCTGTGACAGGTTTTGCTCACATTCCCAGCACATTTAAGCTACGCTCGTTCCCTTCCCCTTCCAGCACTACTGATTTTGTGCATACCTCGCTGCTAAGCCCAGCTGGTGCCATAAACTCTGGGTCAGAGAAGAGTTTTCCCTGCTAAGGCTCCTGTACAGGATGCTTGATGGAAAGCCCTCCAGGTAGCACCAGCAGATCGAAGGTGTCCCATGGGACGGGGGCCTGGCCGGCCAAGAAAGGTGATCTCCTTCCTAGTGTTTCATCTAACCTAGAGTTATGTTTTCTGAGATAGGGCTTGATGGGGTTATTCAAACCCCAGGGGAAGGACAGCATGCAGACCACCATTACCCTTCTGCATCAGGGCTGACAGCTCTCCAAACGTCCTCTCAGAGAAATGTTTAAAATTATTTACAATAGGTGAGTTTGGCTGTTTAAAAACTGGTTTCAAAACATAGACGGGGTTGTTCCAGTGTTTAATTTATTTTAATAATTGCAGAAACCAAACTGGTTTCCATATTGCCTTAATCACAGTGTCACTATATTACTTTGTAAGGATTGCAGTTTTGAAAAGGATGAGCTGAGGGGTCTGGTAAGATGAGAACAAGCACGGCAGAGCATGGAAAAATTAGTCCACAGGACCAGGTAACAGCACCAATCCTATCATCAAAATGAATAAGGGCATTTCAGGGGGACAGTGAGGTCTTGCTCTGTCTCTGTATAAGCCACTGGAAAATAGTCTACAAACCTGTATTTAGTTAAAATTTGTCTGTTCAAACTGTGGATAACTTTCCCCTGTGCTTTCAGATACCCAGAAACTCCTGCATTTATACAGCCTCCGTTTTTCACATGGCATTATTGTCCTAAGGTTTTAGCCCAAGCACTGATTTGTTTAAGCTCTTCATTGCAGCAATGACACACAGTTTATGTATTTAAACTGATTTCTGGATGTAGAGGAAGATCCTAACAGGAAGACCTGTCTTTATTCAGTGAGTAGGGAACTTTCCGACACATCCCACCACGCTACTCCTCATGCATGCAAGGCTTTAAGTCAAAATTAATTAGATGATGGTAATAAAAGGATCAAACAGTAATTCAGTATTTTCCAGCTCAATATCAACATTCCAGCTTAGTTTTTCATATCACTAAGTGCACCTCAGGTATTTATGGGGGGAGCAAATAATACGAGCATTAAAAACCTGAACCCAGAAACAGCCCTGAATCGTTATTTCTTTCCATCATGTGTGTGGGTGTGTGGGGGAACACAGAAAGGGAAAGCAGGGTTTTGCTTTTGGTTCATTAGTCCAAGCCAAACTAACCTCAGAACTTCACATCTGAAAGAGGGAGGGATGGAAAGACAGCAGCTATGGCAGACACTTTTGATCTTTTGCCCTTCCTCCCTCCTGCACAAAGAATGCAACAGCAGCTGCTTAAAAAGAAATGCCTTGTTTCTCACAGCACCGTGCTGGCACTATGCTCAGCCAGGGGAGCCTCACCTGAAAAAGGGGAAAGTGTTTTTTGAACACAGGAAGACCATTTTACCCTGTCTGAAGCATCATCCCTCCCATCAGACCCACCCATACTTGTATCCGTCCCTGAAGGGTTGAAAGCGGCTGGGCAGATCGCTGCCTCTGCAACCAAATCGAGTTACTGTCCTAACAGGAATTAGACTATGGGAAATTAGAATAATAGAAAATTACAGTAATTCCTATTATATTCTAATAATTGCAATAACCATAGGAACCGGGATGTGCTGTACTTCTTTTATCTAGGGCATTCTTATTAAACACCACTCTGTTAGTTGCAACAATGTACTTAATCAAATACAAAACACATGGTTCAAAGAGCACCTCACACTCTAAAATAAACATACATTTCATCCAGAAAATATATATCAGTCTTCATTACCCCAAAACAAAGATTCAGAAAATTATATAATTTGCTTTACAGTATATTCATTTGAATTTCATTAGTAGCCTCTTTACAAAAAATGGTGAGAACAAAAATTTAAATTCATTAAGCAGTTTCAATAAATGCATTTGAATTAATGATTGTAATGATTAATGAGTATAACAATTGATTTGCTCAGTTCATAGGTTTGACCTGCTCATGGCTTTTGAAAGAGCTAAGCTGTGCTGCTAAATCCTCTTTTACCCTTAAATCTCAGTATTACCCTGGTGTGAAATATAGCCATGGAGGTGATCAGAAGTGAGACTCTTTACCTGCATCCACCTGAATTCGAAGACTTATCATTACCATCCAAGACAAGATCATGGAGGCAGCCATCTCCTTGGAGCTCCTGATATAGGAGAGCACCAGACTTTATAGGCAGAGTCGCTAAAGGGTGTAGCTCAGCAGCCCAACCTGTCCCCTCAGTAAGTCAATACCAAACACATTCCCTCACTGCTGTTACTTCCCTGACTTCCATGACTGTATGTTTGATTTGTTACCCAACATTTATATCTTCCTGGTTCTACAAGAAGACAAAAACTGACATCTTCCTCAGAGAAGGCAGAGAACAAAAGTGGTTGCAACAACTGCTATTTTTCCATCCCATCCCTCTTTCAGCTGTGAAGTTCTGTCGCTGTCACAAATGTAACATGTCCCTTTCTCAGGGTTGGGTTGTATCTGAGCCAAAGTTGCTTTTTAAGTCTGGGTAGCAGAGCCTTCCTTTTTGTGACTGAAGGTGTGGAAGGGTAAGAGCCTGGTGGGAAACAATTGAGAGGCTTATGGAGACCCTTCTGCATGGCCTGGACTCCCTCGGGGGACACACTCACCAGCTGCTGGGAGGACATCACCCAGAGTCAACCACCATGTCGCCAGTCCCTTAGAGTTGTGGAGGTGCAGTTTCAGGAACTGTCAAATACCACCCATAACTTACCATCATGTATTTCTCAAGTATTAGTTACATATTAAGTTAACTTTCTGGAGGTAGAAGAGTTTGGAACTAGGATGCTGAGCTGCCTTGTATTCTCCTAGACTATTTTTATGAGTATTTCTGTCCTAATAGGTGTCACATAAAAGTGCAGTAGAAAGTGAGTACATTCATCTCTTTCTGATCTCCCTCGTCCATCCTTCAGCGTGCTTTAGCTTCACCAGGGTAGCAAGACTGACAGTACTTTTAAGCTCTGCAAGTCATCTACTGCAAAACTGAAACCACCAAAGTCATCTTCTGAATTTTGTCACAAACTCTAGTCACAATTCAGTGGTCATGCACTGATCATTTTTAAACCATGCAAACCCTCCCAGAGAACAAGGAGTTTAAGTCTGCGAATAGGGGCAAGTATAGAAAATAAGGGACAATTCATCCCAACTTCTCTATTTCTGAAGTTCTTAAGTACTTTACAGATCCCTTGACACAGTCTTCCCACCAGGATTTACAATATATTTAAGATAATAGATAAATAATGGGATCCAATGGAACTCTACAATAGATTTTTACAAACTATATTTCAGGTCATGGTCAGGTTTAGGTGGATCTGAGTTCCCATCAAAGAAAATGCATTTGCACAGCACTGTTGAA